GTCCTCCTCCAGTCCCAAGCATTTGAAGTAACAAAATCTCTAACATGTATCCAGCTCTCAGTATGCGCCAGCTGATACACTTGTATCAATTTCTCTAACCTTCCCAAAATCTCATGAGGTAGGTATGACTATCATCCCCATCTCACAGCTGAGGAAACTGAGGCACAGACTGGTTAAGTCATTTGCCCAACGTCATCCAGCAAGTCATTAGCAGAGCTGGGACTCAAATACAGGGTGCCCGATACTAGAATGCAGGCTTTCAAAGACCTCGAGCCTCTGAAGGCTGAACGCCTCAGCCACAGTTCCTCAGACATCGGAACTCCTCCTCAGATCACTTCCTGCCTCCCAGGACCACTGAGACTGGTTATGGACCACTGAGAGGAGATGGATGAGAGAATGGTTTATAAACTCAGCCTCTTGCATCTCCCAGAGCCACAATCCCACCCTCAGCCATTCCTGCTACAAGGGTAAGCTCCCAACCAACGCTTTGGAAACCCGTTTCCCTCCCTGCAGGCCTGGGGAGTGGGGCTCAAAGTCTGTGGGTATGAAAACCACTAAAAAAAATCATTCCCAGTGTGCAGAATGGCCAGACAAGGTCTTGGTAACTCAGAAAATCGTCGTCTCTTCTCTTTATCTCACCTCCCAGGAGAGGGAGTGGGAAGGAAGAATCAAGTTCCTGATGCCTTGTTGGGCTCCCCGATCGACAGCACCTTCTGCCTGCCTCGCAACAGGCAGCAGCTATAGTGCCCCTGACACGCACCTGGGCTAGCAGACCTGGCCACTGCCCCGCAGTCAACAGAGCCGTCAGCCTTGTCTGCCACCGACCAGGGACCAGTGACTCTCCTCTCAGGGCTGGGATTAAGTTGCAAAGGGTTTGAGAGATTGTGGATGACAAAAGGGACTTGGAGACTAATTAGGAGCAGCAATGAAAGCTTAATTCATAAAAGGAAACATTTTCCATCCATCAACCTGCAACCAGTTAGGGGCACCGTTTGAAAGAAATCTGTGTGTGGGGAAGGGAGCCAACAGGAACAGGAAATGTTTGAAAGAATGTAAACTATTTCAGTTTCATAAAAAGTAACAAGTAAACAGTTATTACATGCAAATAATGTCCTGGTTTTAATTAATGCTGAAAAGTCAAAATATGGTTGACATTTGTATGTATACATTGAATGGCTGGAAAGGAAAAAAATGGTGCCCAGCTGCCTGTTTCAGAGCGGGACTAGCGGCTCAGAAGGAACTAGAACCTTGAGAAGGTCCTCTTTATTGGTGATGAAAAGCACGGTTCTGCTTCAGCCTGCGTGGAGTTGGGGAGCAGAGGGCACCCGGCTTACTTCTTAACAAAGCTGGAGGCGGGTCTGATGCTTGGGAAGGGCGACTCCCACGTCTCCTGGTCTTAAAGGGCCAGTGGACCCTCAGGCCTGCATTCCACAGGGGCAGGGTTTCTAGGACTTTCCCACCCAGGAGTTAAGTGATGATGGGTTTCAGGTCCCAGAAGCCTCCCATTCAACAGCCCCCCACCCCTGTCCCGCCTTCCTTGTACTGCCCAAGGTCGGTCAGACAGGCAGGGTGGCACACCAGCCTTGACTCTGGGGCAGGAGATGGCAGCCTTCGAGCTGTGCTTTCCAACATTCAGCTGCATTAGCTTCCATTCCAGACCACCTAGGGCTCTAAGGGGCTGGGAAGCTCGGTCTGGGAGACCACAGCTGGAGAGAGGGAGCCTGAGGTGTGGGGGAGATTCTGCCCCCTATGGAGAGGGTGGCTGGGGTGCTTGGGCCCCACCGACCAGGCACTTGTCCTGCAACCGCCTTGCTGAAAGACCTATAAGCTCCCTTTTTGAGCCTGCTAATCCACCATTTCGTGCCAGCATTTTTTGTGAGACCAGGTGTGCTTAACCAGGAAAGAGGGGGTGGCATGAACGGTTTCAGGAGTTGGTAAACCCTAGAAACTGGGAGAAAACTGTGTCTTTTTCTGGCGAGAGACTATAACTTTCCTCACCCCCTCAAAGCGATCTGTAACGTCCTACAGGATTACAAATTGCTGTTTTTAGACAGCTGCGTCTAGGGACCTGTTTTTCGGGATTCTAAGGCCCCTCTTTCAACCTCCTTCCCTGCTGCCTCTGCCATTGCCAATGCTGAACTGGCGAGGCCTCCCTTCCACTTACCTCGCCCACTGCGGCCCACAAAGCGAAGGTCGTTGAACCTGGCCACCTGGTTCTTCATGACGGCCGAGGCGTTGCGCAGCTCAGCGGAGTAGTTCTCGTCATTGCCTGCCATCACGGTCACCACGGTGCCATCTGGCACGTCCCCCAGTGCCACCACCTGAAGACATGGGGCAGGGGGGATGCAGGGGGACAGCTTAGAAAGGAAGAGGGAGCCCAGGGAAAGGAAGGGAGGGGCTGGGCTGGGCAGCTCCCCTAGGTCCCAGGCGCACTGCGTATTTCTCCAATGCAGGGTGGAGAAGAGGCTTAAAAACAATAAAGACCTTCCCTCAAATATCACAAAAACAAGAAGATGGAATCTCAGACTTCCACACCAAAATCCTAGATCAACTGCTTACATAAACCGTGTCCCAAGAAATCATCCTTTCAGTGAAATCTCAGCCAGAGCTGTGAAATCAGCTCAGTCACTATGATGTGGGGTGCAGTTCCCCTGTCGTCTTGGGCTGCAGCGAAAGAGGAATCAACATGCTCCTAGCAACGAAGTCTCCAAGCGAAAAAGAGTATCAACAATAATAACAACAGGGCTGCTACCCCCACTCAATTTATGCAAGAGCTGTTTAGGGCATGAAATTTGGCCCTGAAGTGTGGACGAGGACCAGTTTATTGGCCTCTGCAGAGCCTAAATTCGTTATGCAGAGAAAATGCAGAATGCAAAACTCGCTGGTGTTTTGAAAAAGGTCACCCAGAAAACCCCTTTAAAGTGAGAGGGGGTCTTTTGATAATGGAAGGATGCACCTGCTGGGAACTGCAGGATGGGGGTGGCGATGTCCTCCTAAACACCATCTCCCCCAAGTCCCCCACCCCCAGGAGCACGGAGAGGCAGATGCCTTTTGAAAAACAATCAGACTTTAAACACAGCCACAACCATTTAAACGTGGCCGCCGCGTGCAGGGACTGGGGATCCATATGGTAAAAATTTCAAGGAGAAAATGTTTGGGATCTGATTAAAAAGGCCAGATTTCCTGTCAACATCCTGTCTTCTTTTAATTTCAAAGACTCCTTTTAAGCTCCAAGTGACAGTAAAACCTCCGATCTGACGATCTGACGATTAAAGTCACACGGGCCTCCCCCCCCCCCGGGGAGATTTCCCCCACTGGTATTTTAAGATGTCACCCGAGAGACCTCAAAGAGCCACTCATCCTTTTTTTCCAATTTGGAGTCGTCTTAATGGGAGCAGGGACGGCCTCAGCTGCCAGCGGTCGCCGCTTCCAGCCACCTTGGGCAGCACCACCCCCAGCCGCCGGCCCTTCCTGCCCTGCCCTTTTCTCACGGCAGCTGTGAGAGGTTTAGGGGAAAACCGAGGCGTTTTCGTTTCATCTCGCTGCCCCCTTAAAAAAATGAAAATGAAACAGTCGCCTACTCCCTGGCATAAAGAAAAAGGTCCTCTAAATGGCTGGGGGCTGCCAGAGTTAGGGGTCCCCCAATCTCAACCCGCCATTCAGGACGCAGAATATCCCCCAGCAAACGTCTGGAGAGCAGTGCCCCGATCCCGGCCTAGCGCCGTCCCGTAAAATTTCGGAAGCCCGAGGGTGTGAGCAGGAAGCGTCTGAGAAGCGGCGCGGGAGGAGGGGTGCTGGCGGCGGAGGGTAGGCCCTTTCACCGTTCGCACCCACCCGCGGTGTCCTTGCCCCGGTCCCGGGATCCTCTTCTCCGTTACCCGCAGGGCTGTATCTGAGCGATCCGGGTGGGGGGGGGGGCAAAACCCCATCCGCCCATTTCCGCACCAACGTCTCTACGCAGGGCGCCCTGAAACCCAGGTGGAGCGGGGCAACCCCCTTAAAAGTCATCCGTGCAGGGCGCATCCAAAACGGAACGCCGATGTCCCCAAGCCGAGTGCGCAGCGAGACAGAACCGGGTGCCCAGGTGTCGCCGCGGCGTCTGGGGCACCTCCCCTCCCCACTGCTCCGGAGGCTCTGGCTCCAGCAGCTTGGACGCCCGGAGCCCCAGAGCCGGCGCCCTCCCGCCCCGGGTCCCGCACTCACCTTGAAAGCGACGGGCAGTGTCTTGTTGCAGCGCCAGTGCGAGGGCAGCACCGAGCAGAGGAAGTTGGGGCTGTCGGTGCGCACGAGCTCGCCCGCGTGGTCCGCCAGCACGTCCACCATCGAGCGCACCTCGGGCCGGGCGCGCCCTCCGGGCCCCACGGCTGCCTGCGCGCTGAGCGCGCCGCTGTTCTCGCCCATCTTGCCGCCGCCGCCGCAGGGGAAGGCCGTGGAGGGAGGTGTGAAGCGGCGGCTGGTGCTTGGGTCTACAGGAATACGCATAACAGCGGCCGTCAGGGCGCCGGGCGGGCGGCGACGGCGCGGCTTCCCCCGGGGGCGGCCGGCGCGGACGCCTCCTCGGCCGCCGCTGCCGCGAGAAGCGGGAAAGCAGAAGCGGCGGGGCCCGGGCCTCAGGGCGCAGGGGGCGGCGCCCGGCCACTACTCGCCAGGGCCCGCCCGCTGCGAGGCCTCGCTAGCCCGACGGCCGTCCGCAGCCTGCCCGGCTAGTCCCGCATCCCCGGCGCGCGGCACCGCGTGCGGCCGCCCCTCGCGGCTGTTCCGGCTGCCTGGGCCGCGGCGGGGCCCGCGCGGGGCTGTGCCGCCGCCGCCGCCGCCTCCCGCCCCGAAGCTCGCCCGCGGCCGCCCCGACTCCGCGGCCGCAGCCCCAGAACAAATCCTCTAGAATCAAGTGGCGGGGCCGTGGCCGCCCGCGCGGGGTTAGTACCCCCGGGGCCCGCGGGGGCGGGGCCGGCCCGAGCGACGCGTCGCACAGCCAATCGGCGGAGCCCCCATCGCGGGCACCTCGGTGGCGTTCGCGGGGAGGAACGGGGCCTGCCGGAGGCCGCCCAACGGGGAGGGGCGGAAGGCGCCACCCCGCGGAGGAGGCCCCCGTGCCACAGCCCAGGGCCCCCGAGAGCTCTGGGAGCCCGGGTCAGATGCTAGAAATTTGCTTAGAACGTCCGGGTCCCACAGAAGGCGCCCTTGTCGCCCTCTCCCGGGTCGCATCTCCCTGACGCTGGGGCGCAACCCCTTCGCTCCTCCTCCCCGCTGGCCGCGGCCGGGCTTCCCCAGCTCTTGCTGCTTCGGGCCTGTGACTTCTGCAACCCTGGGCTGGGGGCCGCGGGAGCCCAGGGCCGGTGACACCGCACTGGGAGCCGCCTCAAAGAGGTTACTCACCTCCCTCCTCCCGCAAATTACTCTGACCCAAGAACCTCCAACCCACATGGGATTTTTGTGCGCCGTCCACGCCCGGCCGGCGGCCTCTGCCGCTCCCAGCCCTGCGCGGCTTTGGTCCCAGCCTCGGTGGCCCCTGTGCCAAACCGAGGACAGGCGGAAGGGAGTCTCCCAGGGACCCTAAGTAGCCTGGGGCCAACAACCCCTTTCCTCTCTACTCTCCCCTCAAAACAAGTTTGAGGATCTCGCAGGCCTCGCGGCGTCGTTCTTCGTTGTGGCGGCCTGTGGCTCTTTGAAAAACACGACGAGGCCTGCAAAATGCGTTTTCCCAATTTTTTTCCTTTACGCGTGTAACTACGGTCCTGCATCGTGAAACACTACGCGCGTCGGCGACAAAAGAAACACTGAGCAGTGGCTGCAAAGCTAAGGGCCCCGGCTTTCAGAGGAGAGAATTTTCTTTCTCCATGCGTGTGGAAAGTGGCCTCCGCGGATCCAATCCCACTTCTTGGGCTCGTGCGCTCTGGCTGCGCTGCAGGGACCGCTGACAGTTTCGCCAAGGCACTGCCTGCCCTCCTGGCTCCGCGTCCCCGCTCCCACTCCCAGCCGCGTGGCCCAACCTCTCCCGGGCTTCACTGTAAACAACCCCTTCCTCTCCCGCCTCTTAAGTCAGTCGAGCAAGCCTAGGGTACGGCTACAGCTGGGAGGGCAACGGGAAAGATCAAGCCCCAATCATTCCGAATTATCGCCCCAGACCCCTCCCTAGACTCTGGGGAACGAACGCGTGCTGAGCCTTCCCGCCGCTTTGGAGACTGGGCTATATTTTCGTTGCCTCCGGCTCTCGACAGGTGCAAAACAGTCAATTCCAAGCCTCGGAAGCAAAGAAGCTTAGGATTCGACGGTGGCCGCAAGATCTCATCAAGGATCTGACCCCTGCCCAGCGTGCGCCATTTCGTCGTCGCCAAACGAAATCAAGCCCCTCGTGCGCTCAAGGGGTGAAGGACTCTGGCCTCACCCCGACCGTCGAAAGAGCTGGCCCCTGCCCCGCTCGAGACCTCATATCACGCTCTCAGGCCATTTCGAAAGCAAGAACGGCAAAGGTCCCTTACTGAACCTTGTAAGAGAGCCTGCGCCTGGCAGTTGTCGATTGCGGACCCAGGCCCGCGCGCCCTCGGACGCGCTGGCACGAGCAGCAGAACTAGAGGAAAGCGAGCGATCCAGCCTGGGCGCTCCCATCTCCAGGAACGTCTCCGGGAAGGCCCAGCGCGTCGTGGCCAGGTAGGGCCCGGGGTGGGGGCGGGCAACACGTGCTGCCCTGGAGCGGTTGCGAGACCATGACCCACAGTTTCAGGTGGTGGTAAATTCCATTTGTCGAGTGGTTTGGGTTTGCACCGTGCCCTTTGCTTGTCCCTCCGCCTGATTTCTCCCTCTCCCCTTACGGCGGGTTCACAGACGGGTTCCCAGAGAGTGGGGGACTCTTGTGAGCCCTGGCACCTGGCGCAGGGCCCGGCACGGCTCCGGCCCTCCGTAGAGCGCTGGCTTTCCATGGGCACCAGATGCAAGGTACTGGGGGGCGGGGTGCAGGCCCTTGCGTCCGCAGACCAAGGTCGCCCTGCCGCCTGGCAGGCACGGTGGCGGGAGCTGCCGCTAGTTGGCGCCCGCACCCTGCCAGCCGCGGAGGTGCGGGCCCGGCCAGGCTACAGATGCGCGCCAGCTGCGGCCCCGGGTGCAGGCGCGGTGGCCACCCCCCAAGAAGGTGCCCTTTCCTTGCCACCAATGCGGCCAGGTCTCTGACAAACCGATGGCTGTGTGTCAAACCAAGGCCGCCTTCCTCACCTCTGATGAGACGGACGCCTTCCGCCTTCGCGTTTTCAGGCACTGGGGAGAAGACCCACAGAACAGGCTAGCTTGTTCCCAATTTCCACCGATCGCCAACCTGCTTCCTCCCCATCCCGGACCGACAAACTTTGTCGTCTGTTTGATGGGAGGGAGAGCTCCCACTCCCCCACCTGGGGTATGCAGACACCCTCGCCCTTCCCCAGCTGGCATCCCCAGCTGGCATGGAGGTCTTTTTTCCCTCTTCCATCAGATCGATGGACAAACAGCCCAGTTTCTCTCCAGTGGTCCCCACCTAAGAGCATCCTAAGTTGTCCACAGCAGGGCTAGGAAGCGGAAGGTCAGGACACTCCCCTCCCCTACCTTGACTTAGAGCTGGGTAAACCCAGAACCCATCCCAGGAAGGGGATTCGTCTTCCTCCAGCATTTAGGAGTGCACTCTAAGTGCGTTCTTGGCAGTGAGGGTGCCGGCTTCCCAGGGCAGGCATGATTCATGGGGACTCTGTGTCGCCTGGGCAGGGATCCCCAGGTATACCAGACAAGGGGCAGGTGTGCCCTGGGAAGCTGCCTAAGAGGTCCACAGGCTGTGGAAGGAGCCAGGGTCCACAGTCCGTCTGCCTGAGCGTGTCTTCTTCCCTCGCCCGCAGCTCTCTAGGCAGAGTTGCCTAAGCCTCTCTGAGCCTCGTTTCTTTCATCTGTAAAGTGGGGGCACTCATAGTGGCCCCCATAGAATTGTGTGTAAAGTGCTTAGCACAGGCCTGGCACATAGAGGGTGCTCCAGCCATGGGGAGCCATCACTGTCATTATGAAAAAATAAGACCTGTCAATCCTTGCTGGGGGCCTTTGAACCACCCCTCCCCTCTCTGGGCCTCACACTTCCATCTGTGAAATGTCCAGTTCTCACGTTCAAAGCTTGCCAGGACTCCAAGCCAGTCCATGCTGTCCTGACCCCTCGATTCGCCCAGGGGCTGCCTGGGGGAGCTAAGGACTGGCCTTGACCTACCTCCACGTGGAGTCGGCTCACAGCAGGGCTTCCAGCAACCGTCACAGGGCGGCCGGAGGTGGGTCTTGATGATTGCCCATCTGACCATTCCTCTCAGAACCTCACTTTGGCCCCCACCCAGCTGCCCCCCCCGTAGGCAGACGTTTTCCTAAGTAGCAACTGGGCCTCAGCGGACACTGCCAGGGACCCCATTTCCTTCCCAGGAGGCCTCTGTTTCCCATACCCCGAATCGCACAGGAGCCTAGTCCAGCGAAGAAGGACAGAGGACACTCTTCTAGAACTGAAAATTTCTCCCAGCCTGGCCCTAAATCCCCTGTCCAGAGGGACCCGTGGTGAAACCCATCTCCTGCCCCTAGAACTCAAAGGGGACATTCATGCCCCTCACTGAGCCTCAGTTGCCTCTTCTGTCAATGGAGGTCATTCTAACCTCTCCATTTCACAGGAGGGGATTAAGGATTCCCTCTAGGAGGGGAGGGGCATCGTGTTTCGCTGTATCTAAATTGTGATCGATGGTTTGAAGAAACAAAGAAAATGCTGCTGAGTAAACTAGAACTCATCTGCTTCCTGATTTCAGATGATGATCTCTGAATATATAAGTGAGAAATGTTAATGAAAAATAGCAGTATATCTGGGTTGAGGGGTTGTCTCCTGCAGGTCAGGGGTCCAGCCCTAGAGAGTCCAGCTCTGGGGTTGTCTCTCCTGGCCAGCCTCTCTGGAAGGATTCAGAATGTGTGGGAGGACAAATGTGCTTCTCAAATTACAGAGATCTTTCTTCCTTTTTGGAAAGTGCCAGACTTGGAGGGGAGGGAGAAGGAGCAGGGGAGAGCAGAGTGGTGAGGGTGTTAGGACCCAGTGCTGCCTGTGAGGTCTGAGACTTTTGCCTGGTGTCCACACTCCCCTGAGCCTTGGTCCCGAGGGTAAAATGGGAAGAACAGTAACAGCTGAGGGTGCTGAGGCTTTACCTTGTGCCAGGTGCCGCACGTGGGCATTACTCATGGTATTTAATCCCCACGGCGTTGTATGTGGTAGGTGTTATGCCCATGTAAGCAAAGCGGAATGTTGTTTGAGGTCGGCCAGGTTGGAGAGGGCCGGACCCAGGTTAAAAGCCTGCTCTGGCTCAAAATGTGGGGCATGAAGGCATCACCTGGCCAAGCATGTCAGCACTCTCCTCCTAGTGGCTGAGTAATGGGAAGAGCTAGCAGCTAGATACAGAGGAAAGTGCTATTGTGATGGGGAAAGAAAGCTGGGGTGGTAAATCCTGCTAAGCAGCCCTGGACTTGGAAATCAGCAGACTCTTCAAATCTGCAGGGAGTCAGGAAGGACTTGCCAGGGTCATTCGGGAGGGTCCTGTGATAGCTGAGGTGCACCCACCACCTGCTGTCCTTTGGCCTCAGAACCAGTCTGTGAGGAGGCAGGATCGGCAGTAGTCTCCAGTTTACAGATGGGAACACTGAGACCCAGAAAGCGGAGAGGCATGATCAGGATCTGGACTGAGCTCCAGCAAGGCCAGGAGCGAGCACCTCGAGGCAAAATGCAGTCAGGCAGGACCTCTGCCTTGCAGGAGGTGGCAGCCCAGTCCCGGGCCTCATACACTAGGGCCCCATGCCACTCTCAGTGTCTCTCTCCCAAGGGAAGTGCTAGTCAGTCGCGTTTCCGTCTGGGCCTCAGTGTTCGCATGTGAACGCTGGGGGTGCACTTACAAGCCCCCTCTACATGCCAGGCAGGTTCCCGCAGGACCCCAGGGTTTCGCTGTGACCCAAGACCCCTCCTCCCCACCCACCTGCTCTCCACCTTCTGTGGGGCGCCAGCTTCCTTGCGTCCACGTGACCTTGGATCCTTCCACGCCCACCCCCACCCTGTTCTGCAGGTGGGTGGACAGAGGGTGCTCTGCTTTGGGGATGAGAGAGAGAAAGGGAGGCAAGGGCGGAGAAAAGAGACTTCTCTTGCGGGGGCGTGGAGCAGAAAAACTGGCTCCATCAGTTGCCAGGGAAGGGGTTTCTGGTTTCAGATCACATCACTTGGTGGGACCTTCCTACCCCCCTGCCTGCTACTCACTCTTGTCATCTGTAAATCAGGGAAATATTTCTAGAAGACAGTTATTTGGTCTGTGACTTTGATCATTGGTCTATGACTAATAATTGCCCTAATTTTTTGGACACCTGCTGCATGCTGGGAGTTTTCCGCCAATTGTCACTCACCCTCAGGTGCCTCCGCAGGTCAGGGATTTTATTCTCTCCATTTTACAGATGGGGAAACCCAGGCTCCGAAAGTAAAGAGCTTTTCCTCTGTGGGCCTCAGAATCTGAGAAGTTCAATCAAGTTCTCAGGAGCCCTTCCAGCACCCCCAGTCCTCGATCGGGGAGGGGCCATCTGCAGTCTGACAGCTGCTCTCAGGGCAGAGATCTCCATCCAAAGCAGCAGGTGGGTGTAGAGCTACCTGCCAGCAGAGCCATCAAACACAGCACTCTTCTATTGGGAGGCACGGAGTGGTGAGAGGGACCTGGGCAGCTTGGAGCCAAGGGGGCTTCTGGGAAACATGTGCCCTTCCCCCAGCCCCAGGGTGGGGTTCAGCCCTGGCAAGCAGGGAGAGAAAGGGCTCTTCTGAGTGGCTGTTGCTTTACACACGTTTTTGCTTCACAGTATTCTTAGAAGGTAGGGACAGTTATCACTCCCATTTTACAGGAAAGAAAACTGAGGCTCAGAGAGCTCAAGTAACTTGCCCAAGTTGGCACCACTGGGAAACCACAGAGGTAGGATTCCAACCAGGCAGCCTGGCCCCAGAGCCCACGTTGCTGCCCACTACACTCTATTCTTGTGGACTAAAACCAGATGCTCGAGGTTACAGTCATGGAATAGAATTAGAATCCTGGCAGAAGAACTGTGGGCAGGATTCAGAATTTTACAATGTCAGACTCGAAAGGGCTCTGAGATATCAAATTCAAATCCCCATTTCTCAAATGGCAGAACTGAGGCCTAGGGAGGAAGAGTCTCACTCAAGGTCACAGCCTATGCCAGGGACAGAGTCTGCACCCCTTCCCTCTCCAGCTACCTCCCGCTGACTCTGCACCTTCCTCTCCTGCAGGCCCTCCTCTCCCCACTGCCCACCCAGCAGCTTCTGGGCCCAGCCAGGCCCATTAGGGATTTTCCACCTCCCCGAAAAGGTCCTAATGACTGTCAGTCCTTGTGAAGCCTTAATTAATCTCAGAGGCCGATGGCTCAGAGGAGACTGGGGGCTTTGGCCTTACGCAGATGAAGATTGCGGCTCTATTTCATGTGGTGGTGAAGGAACGCCTCAGACATTCCTGCCAGCAATAAAAGCCACATGGCTTTCCAGCGTCGCCCTTGGAAAAGAAAAAAAGTGCAGCCCTTTGCGGAAAGAAATCAACTATGTGTTGTACGCATGGCATGAGATACAAATGGGCACACGGAGGTGGGGAACA